CCCCGCCCCGCCCCGCCCCGCCCCTCGAACCCGCCAAGTCCAGCGCACAGTGGGTTGCAAAGTTTCGCGGTGCTTGTCCGCGGAGACAGCGCGCCGACTCGACTCTGCTGGGCTCCGACCGCGGTGACCGCAGGCTGGGACTAGAGCGGCACTAAGCTACCCGCCCCTCTCTGCTCTGCGCCCCACGCGAATCTCGGTACCCCAGCGCCCGGGACCCGGGGCTGCCGGGGCTACCACCGAGTCGCCCTGCCTCAGGGTCGGTCCGCAGTCTCCCGTGCGCCTGCACGCTCCCTCCTCCTCTTCCTCCACCTCCTCCTCCTCCTCCCGGGTTTCGGCTCTTTGCTCTTCGCTGCAGCCAACCCACCATGGCCCGTTGCTTCTCCCGGATCAGCCCAGGAGCACAGCCCCAACTGCTGCCCCTGCTGACACTGTTGCTGCTGCTTCGGGCCGTGGGTGGTAGCCACACGGCCCCCGCCCGGTCCCTGCCCACAGCTGCCGATGGCCTGGCAGGGAACAAGGACCCCCAGAGGCTCTCTGGGGACGCAGTAGCAGCTCTGGGCCACGGCGCCCAGGACATGGTCGCTGTCCACATGCTCCGACTTTATGAGAAATACAGCCAAAGAGGCGCGCGACCTGGAGGAGGCAACACAGTCCGCAGCTTCCGGGCTCGGCTGGGTAAGTAGAGGGGGTTCTGGGGCCCTTGTCTTCATTCTCCCCCTCCCTCTCCTGTCCATCTTACCCACCCTGCACCTCCGAGTTTCTTTTCTTTCTATTCATTGACTAGTTCATTCATTCTATCACTGACTCTTCACCAAGCACTGTAAGACAAGCCTCTGAGATGAGCCTCCGGTGGCAGAGAACCCCTCTTGGCCGTGGGGGTGCTGCCAGGTCTAGGAAATGTGGCACTCGTTGGATACAGCCCACCCTCCTCAAAAGGCTTCTAAGCCCCAGGGGGACTTGGGGCTGGGCTGGAGAGCTTATGGGGGGGGGGGCAAAAATCCATCCGAAAGCATCGGTTGTATTGGCTATTGACAGATGCGGGGAGGACACTGAGGAGGCACAATCTGATGGCATAAGGCAGCGCTGGTAGAAATACCAGGCACCCTGCCCGGGCAGAAGGTGTGAAGTTCTAGCTGAGGGCAGTTACTGTTTCAGTGACTGGAGGGGGAGCAGGGTGGACAGAGAAAGGCCTTGGGTGCTCAGGACTGAGGCCTGCTGGGTCCTGGCATGACCTATTCAGACTATAAGGCTTTGAGGAAGCTCCAGAAGGTCAAGCAGCAAGGCACCCTGCCTCTCTCATCCTTGCTCCACTTGCAAGGACATCCTTGCTGCCCCCTTTCCCCACACCTTGGTTGATGCTGGACAGAGGCCCCTTGCAGAACTCTCCCTTCCCTGCTCTGGGAGCATGTGCAGACTCCAGCATCAGCAGCCTGCCCAGCCAGGTTGGGCCACCTGTCCTGGCCCAGGAGCAGAGTAGTGGTGGTGGTGGTGTTGGGTCTCAGGGAGGGGTGTCCTTGCTTGTCATACAGAGTGTTCATGGTCACAGAATGTCTGCCAGAAAAAAAAAAATAGTGGGCAGATTTCCCCTGTGGGCTTGGTGGGAAAGATTTCCATCTGCAGGGACCCCTCCTGAAGTTTAGGAAAAACAGGTCTAACTTTGGGGCCAAACAGTATGGGTGAGATCTGCCACCTGTTCATCTCTGGCTACATGATTCAAGGTACCATCCATGACCTGAGAACCAGATATGGGACGCTGGACTTCACATGTACTGGGAAGATTCACTAGGTTAGTGTCTCAGGGTCACCCAGAAGAAATCCCACCCTTCCTCCGTCATTCATCACCAGGGGTCCACTCCTGCAACATCATTATTAAATTAAAGCACTTAAGAGTCCTGTAGCATGACCATGGCCTTGGAAAATCACTAAAGCTCTGTGGACCTGAGTGTACTCTACAAAATGGACAGGTCATGCCAGAATCTTCCCTGTGGGGTTGCAGGAAAGGTGAGATGCGCTAATGTATCTAAACCCTGAGTTCAGCCCTGGCCAGATTAGGTCTTGGTATATATGTTAATCTCCTAGTAGTACGAAGCATTTGTGTTCTTATTGGTGTGAACTTGACCTTGATTCCATAAACTCAGTCCTCAAAAAAAAAAAAGCAAATTTGCCAAGGTCACTGTTGCAATAAGGGCAACAGGCCATTGTATCTGCTCACTCGCTGGAGCCCTGAGCAGGGAGGAGCACAGTCTCTGTTTTCACAGAATGGGGTAATGTGAGTGGCGATGAAGCATAGAATAGGACCTGACACAGTACTTCAGCTGCAGTCCTTCCACTTCACGGTAAGGAAACTGAGGCTAGGGAGGGCTCTGTTCACTGGTTGGCACCTGGCATCTGTTAGGCCAGGTGCTAGTCCCCTCCCTCTACCTCTATCAAAACTAAGCCCAGAGCTTGGGAGAGAAAGGGCGGACCAGTCTGGGAGACCAGAAGTGCTGTGGACCTCTCTGGGGCTGTCTAAAAATGCCAAGACCCTTTCTGAACCACCTGACAGCCCTGGGTACAAACTCCAGCTCCACCAGCAGCTGCTGGTTGTGGCACAGATCTCTTTACCTCTCTGAATGTTGCTTTTTTGTACACATGGTGAAAGAAATGATGCTTCAGTGGGATAAAGTAGATTTTGTGTTCTATCAGTGGGGTAAGTTTGGCTTCTCGTGTCCTCCTTCGTTTCACTTAAGTTCATCCTTACCCAGCTCCTCACCAACCCTCGGTGGTGCCTGCTTCATGACCCAGAGACCCAGCTGTGAGAAGGCAGGCGTCTGGATAGGGACCCCTCATCTTTTTGGATGCTGAACAAAGTTGAACGCCTCCGCAGAGGCCTTCAAACATGCCTCTAGCACCTGCCCCAGGACAGGTGCCCCTGCTGCCTCCACCAGGCAGTGCCTCTTCCTGCACAAACAGTGCCCAGAGCCCCAGAACCTGCACTGGAGAGGGCTGCAGTCCCGGCTTGCACCAGGCAGCATACCTCAGGTACAAGTACGGCCTGTGACTTGGGCTGCTGGGTCCAAGTGACCTGAGCAAGAGACTAAACTTTGGAAATGGGGCTTGTGATGCCCTGAGCCATGTCCAGATGTCCAGTGCATAAAGCAGTGCCTGGCACATGAAGGGTCTATCGCTCCCGCTGCTGCTGCTGTGCCACCCATTCCTCTCTTCAACCCTGCCTTCCTTTGCTCCCTGAAGTGCATCTTGCTCCCTAGTATGTCCACATTAGTGGAAAGGGCATCTGAGCCTAACTCTAAGAGTTAAGGGGTGAGTTCTCCCCACCCAAATGATCTGTGTTTAAATCTAAATTTTTCTACCTAGCTGCGTGACATTAGACAAGCTACTTTAGCTCTCTCAAGTTGGTTTCTTCACACTAAAATGAAAGCGATAACTCAACCTATCTATTAAAAAGGCCAAAGTCACATTCATTTCAGTCCCCGAAGTCTTTCCTAAGCACATCACTGGCTGGCAGGTGCTGTAAGCTTGGCAGGCACGAAGACACAGAGACGTGGGTGCCCTGCCTGGAAGAGCTCGCAAACTGGTAGGGAAGGTGGAGGTGAGCAAAAGGATGTGGGCAGCAGCTGGTGTGATGGAGTATTCTGGGGAGCCCTATGGGTGACACTGACCCAGCCAGGGAGGGATCAGTAGGGAAGTATGAGGAAGAATTCACGGGACAGGTGGGCCCCAGGGGTTGCGAAGGGTGGTTGGGGTTTAGCCACGTGTAGCAGTGAAGTAGTGAGTTCTGAGAACTGTGGAGTTTGGGGTCAAGGAGGAGCCATCAGGAGGAGAGAGGCAGGCAGGAGAGTTGTACCAGAGGATGGGCCTGTGTATGGAGCTGAGATTTCTAAAGACCCCAGAGAAATCGGCTTGTCTAAATAGGAAGGCCCTTTCGTTCTTAGTGTCAGAATTCAAAAGCATGCAAGTGATTGCTCGTGTTGGCAAAGCCTTTAGTGCTTCACAGTTCCACGATCTGATCATGGTTCTAGCCAAGGTCAAGGGCTTGGGGTAAGACCGATCTGGATGCATACTCCTGCTCTGCTGCTTGCCAGCGGGGTGATTTCAGGAAATTATGTCTCCTCGCTGAAGTTCCATCTTTTTGTCCATAAATGAATGACACATCCCTGCCCCCACTGTGACAATGGACAGATATGCTTGGAGCTTGGACTTTCATAACTAGCATTCTAGTCTCACTAGGCCAAAGATAAGAAAACTGAGGCTCAAAGAGAAGCACTGCTGAGAGACACCGCTGGCCAGTGCCTCCAGCTGAATATTCATGGTCAGCTCAGCTTTCCAGAGCAGGAGGCTGCCTGGACTATTTCAGGATGTGATTGCTGAGCCCTGGGGCAACAGGCCAGGAGCCCCCATTGTTACCTGAAGTTAACAGATCCAGCCAGGACCACACCCTTCCCCATCACCCATCCCTTCTCTCTGACCCCTGACTGCTCTCCGCCTGGTGCTAGGGTGCAGGGATCCAGCCTCACGCTGAGCCTCCAAGTACAGCCCCTCCTCTCTTGGCCTTTGTATTCTGGGGGTGAAACAAACAGAACAGAAACACCCATCCGGATGGTGGCAAGTGACATGAAGACTTTGAAGCAGGGGATGGACAGCATGGCTCTGCCAGCTACAGGAGTCGTGGGCTCCCCTGGTTGGGGTGCTGCTTGGGCAGTGCCCGAAGGAGAGAGGAGTGACCAGGAGGAGGAGTGGGGAGTGCAAAATGAGGAGCCAAGGCAAAGACCTGAAATGGACGTTTCCTGTTTGGACGGGAGGCCAGGACTGAGAAGTAAAGTGGGGCAGGAGCTAGAATTGGGGAGCTAGGCAGGCTGACTCAAGAAGGTTCTTAGTTAGGAGTCGAGTTTGATGTGTGGGCTCTGACCAAGCCAGTGACTTGACATTTAACATACCCAGCACACTGGGGGGCCCAGGCTGTGATCTGTGAACTGATAGAGCTACAGATGGCTATGACACCCCAATTACTCCCTCACTACACTGAGCTCCTGCAGGGCTCTTTTCATGCCTTGTTCTGCCTCCAGTCAACCCAACACTCAGCCCAGAGAAGTTTTCCAATTCCTGGAAAAGTAAGGGAGGAAGGAGAGAAAGAAGAAAGGAGGGTTTTGATGAGCCAGAGATCTGACCAGAAGGACCAACACAGTTCATAGGAAGTAGGGACCTCTCTTTGGGGCTTTGTGGCCTGAGCTCACGCAAGCCAGGTGACTTCAGGTAGACGCCCCTTCTGCAAGCCTCCGTCTGGAGCCCCCCTCATTTTGGGCATGTGGGCACAGAGGAGAGGCCCAGCCCATGCATGGAGGTGGCCCATCTCCTACTCAACAGCTCCCTTGCCTGCCTAGCTGGGGGTGAGCTCCCTGGCATCAGAGGGAGAAGGACCCCTGCTGTGAGTGGGCTCCATCAGGCTAAACTTTTTTCCCCTGTGTTCTCTGAACTTGGCTCCCCATCCTAAAGGAGGGACAGTGTTCACTGCCCCTTCTGCATCCTCTCGGGAATGACCTCCAGGGAGGGGCCGTTTTCCTTTTGTGACTTAGAGGTTGTAGTTTTCTTGGGTCCAACATCTCTGGCCCTGCCGCGTGGCCACAGCTGTCTTTCTTTATACACTTTCTTGTCACATTATATACTTGACCCCATCAGTGGAAGGGGGATTAATAGGATTTTCTCTGGGGAGCCCCATCTCTGCCCTCCCCCAACCTTGGAGTTTTCCTTCCTGCCCCAGGCTGTAGGTTTCTGGGCCAGATTGCCTACATCCTGCTCACTTCTGAGAAAAGTCAGAGATGTCTGCTCCGGAGCATCTTAAGTGTTTCCTAGCAAGGACTCTGCTAGAACAATAGAGTTACGATTTGAACTGGTAAATGGAAAATGCATCTGCCACATTAGCTGGGCCCTACTCAATGGTATAGAGGGAAGGAGGTATAGGAGTTGGTATGGGAGGAGCTCGCTCTGCCCACCTCAGTTGGTCTGTTTGACAAAAGTCGCTGGGAACCACATTTGTGAGCTCCTTTTTTGTGCCTGGCACATTACCAATGTTATTTATTTAATTCTCCAAGGAATCACGCGAGATAGAGATTCTGTTGTCCCAAAGCATAGCGTGGTTCTCTTGAAGCCTGGTTCCTAGCACCTTTCTTAGCTGGGGCCTTTTTTTTTGGGAGGGGGGGGGTAAGGGTACTGCATTGCTGATGAAATGTCATTCCACTCACAGTGCAAACCCAGATGCTGCAGATACACAGCTGCTGCCCACCAGTGCTTCCCAAAATTTCCCTGATGTTAGAATCCCCTGGGATGCTGGTCAGAACATGAGTCCCTGGGTTCCATTGTCCCAGAGCCTCTGAATCAAGAAAGGCAGACAGTGAGCAAGGAATACGGAAGGGCCTGCACCCACAGCACTCGGGGCCACGGGACTTGGGGAAGCCACGACTCAACGTGCTTCTGCTGTTAACTGGGTCTCTGTCTTTTCCCTTTTTCCTCTCTCATAGTCCCTTAGAGTAGGTGAAATTAAACTATCCTTATCCCCAATATTAACAAAAATACCCCGAAGAGCTGGGCACCTGGCTTGATCCTATGGGTGCCTGAAAAGCTGTGTTCCTGAACATGCCTTTGGAGAGCCCAACATTAAGCCCCCAGCACGGGTGCACATGCTCCATCTCCTGGAGCGCTGTTGCTCGCTCAGCTTCACACGGGGCAAGTGTGTGGGCAGAAGGACAGAGGCCCCGTGGTGGGTGTTTCTCCTCCATCCCGACCTTGGGAAGGAGACCCCGTGATTCCAGGGGCCCGTCTTGGAAACAACCTAACAGATCTGCCCTCCTTTGCAGAAGTGGTTGACCAGAAAGCTGTGTATTTCTTCAACCTGACTTCCATGCAAGATTCAGAAATGATCCTCACAGCCACATTCCACTTCTACTCAGAGCCACGGTGGCCCAGGGCACGAGAGCCACCATGCAAGCAGCGAGCCAAGAACGCGTCCTGCCGCCTGCTACCCCCCAGCCTGCCCATACGTCAGCATCTGCTCTTCCGCAGCCTCTCCCAGAACACAGCCACACAGGGGCTGCTCCGGGGGGCCATGGCCCTGGTGCCCCCACCACGGGGTCTGTGGCAAGCCAAGGATATCTCCCCCATCGTCAAGGCAGCACGCCGGGATGGCGAACTGCTCCTCTCTGCCCAGCTAGACTCCGGAGAGCAGGACCTGGGAGTCCCCAAACGCAGCTCCCTGGCACCCTACATCCTTATTTATGCCAATGACTTGGCCATCTCAGAGCCCAATAGTGTGGCGGTGACACTGCAGAGATATGACCCCTTCCAGGCTGGAGACCCAGAGCCCGGAGCAGCTCCCAATAGCTCTGCAGACCCCCGAGTGCGTCGGGCCACTCAGTCCACCAGGCCCCTCCAGGACAATGAGCTGCCAGGGCTGGATGAGAGGCCAGCACATGCCCCCCACACCCAGCACTACCACAAGCACGAACTGTGGCCCAGCCCCTTCCGTGCGCTGAAAGCCCGGCCAGGCCGCAAGGACCGCAGGAAGAAGGGCCAGGATGTGTTCACGGCCTCACAGGTGCTGGATTTTGATGAGAAGACAATGCAGAAAGCCCGCAAGAGGCAGTGGGATGAGCCGAGGGTCTGCTCCCGGCGGTATCTGAAGGTGGACTTTGCGGACATCGGGTGGAACGAATGGGTCATCTCTCCCAAATCCTTTGATGCCTACTACTGCGCGGGAGCGTGCGAGTTCCCCATGCCCAGGGTAAGGCGTGCCTGAGTGACACCGCTGTGTCTTGAGTGTCGTGCAACTAACTCAGCTCTGAGCCTACTGGCAAGTGCCTCTGCCTCCTGTTGGTGAAATGGGAAAAGAACACCTCCCCTCTCCGCAAGCCAGGGCAGCCCCAGAGGCAGCCTGCGGTGGAGACGGCCCGCACGGAGATGGGGTTTCGCTGTGCTTGTGAAGGTGTAGACGTGGTTATATGTGGGTTTGGAATCAGAACATTTTTTGTTTTGTAGAAATGAGATAGGAGAACTTACTGGCCCAGGTGTGTTCTCTCATAGCCATCATCGAGCCCTCTCCTCTCCAAAGCTCGTGGCTCTGTTCCTGGCCTGGACCTCAAGACATTGGTATCTGTGACCAGCATAGAACTGGCCTCTGTGGCTTCCCAGTGCAGGTTCCCCTTGCCACCCTCACGCTCAGGGCAAGCAGCCATGAACAGCTGCTCTCACAGTGCACACGTCTGCAGGACACACAGCCAGGGCTGTTTCACCCACTAGACTGGCCCTTGGGCGTCAGATTCTCTCCTGCCCTCAGGGCTGGGTCATGGCTCTGTCCCTCCATCACCCACGGCCCCTGTGGTGGGCTGACTGCCAAGTGATGTCAGTGTCAACTCTCCACATGCTGCACATCCTTCTCTCCTGCTTAGTGCCTCTGCTGAGTCCCAGGTCACGCCTTCCCCTCCCAGAACGGAAGTCAGTGTATAAATACAGTTTGAACATAAATAAATCATCCAGCTGGGAAATACCAGACCCAGGCCTGGGGCTGCATTACCCATTTGGAAATGTAGGGACTTCTCAAAGCCGTGCGAGAGCAAAAGAACGGAAGGGAGATGCCAGGCAGAGAGGCAGGCCTAGCCCAGGCTGGGACACGTGCAGGCTGCAACTGGCATTCACCCATCAGCCTGGCTCATCCTTCCCACCTTCCCTGACACCGGCCTAAGCCCTGCAGCTCAGGTATCCCTGCCTCGCTTCTGCCCCAGAGGCCTTTCTCCTCAATGATCTGTATGTCAAATTCTTAGGTCAGTGATGAGCTGAAGCTGGGCACTTGGCACTGTTCATCTTGTGGTAGGTACTTACTAAAGAGACTGAATGGCATACTGTGTGTGTCTCAGGACTTAGAGCTTCTGGCTGAACGAGACTGCTTACACGGGGAGAGAGAGCCTGGCCCCAGCGAGCAAGGTTTCTGCCCCCAGCAGCTTTCTAACTGAGGGGCCCTGGTCAAGTTATTTAGTCATTTTAAGTTTCAGTTTCCTCATTAGTAAAATTAGGTCACATCTACCGTAAGATTAATATGATGACCAAATGGTGTGATGCAGGTGAGGTAGTGCCCGACACCCAGAGTCAGACCCATGTGAAATGTCGGTTTCTAGCCCCCTGAAACTGCCACATGGGCCTGCTGACCTTGCCCTTCAGTGCCACGCACGCGACCCCTGGGAAGCGCGCCTGGACTGGGCAGTCTGTGAAATATGGGCAGCTCTGGCTCAGTGAGTTCACTGAACCTCTCCCCAGGCCTGCCCAGGCCTGCCCAGTCCCAGGTGCTTGTGGGGGATGTGTGACACGCAGGTGCCCCCCAGTGGCCAATGCCATGTAAGGATGTAACTTTCTTCTGGCTGCAGAGGGGCTGAGGCTCTTCCCGACCTCCCTGGGACTCAGCCTGTGGCTGACTTCCCAGGAAGTGTGTCTCCCCCAGCCCTGCCCTTCTCACCTACCCTTTCCGAGGCCTTACTCAAAGGCAAGCCAATGGCCTGGGGGTGGGACGGCGGGAGGAGGCACCAGCAGCGTGCCAAGGTAACGATGCTCCTTTTCCTTCCTTGCAGGTTGTCCGCCCATCCAACCACGCCACCATCCAGAGCATCGTCAGGGCTGTGGGCATCGTCCCGGGCATCCCAGAGCCTTGCTGTGTTCCTGACAAGATGAATTCCCTTGGGGTCCTCTTCTTAGATGAGAACCGGAACGTGGTTCTAAAGGTGTATCCCAACATGTCTGTGGAGACCTGTGCCTGCCGATAAGAGGAGGCGCTCTGGGAACCGAAAAACCTCCGCCCACCCCACTCCCAGCAGGCAGAGTGCTCAGAGCTTTCTGGAACAGGGGTTTGACTAGGGGTGAAGCTCCGAGGAAGGGCAGAGCTACATACGACCTTGCTGGGTCCCAGAAAGAGCTGTCTCCTGGGACATCAGTCTGAGGTCTCTAGCGACTTGCCTCCTAAATGCCAGTCTGAACACCCAAGGGAGCTGGGAATTAGCACTCGCCTGGCCATCGCCTGTGGCCCATCCCACCGTTTGGAAGGCCTGAAACTGAGCGTGTCCACAGTGTTGGATGCCGCGGTCGCCATCTCATAACCTGCAAAGGAGGCTGCAAATCTAAGGTTGCTTCTTTCGTGTGGAAAGAACGTCTGCTAAAATACTAAGTTTAAATGTTTTGGGCCACATATTGGTTATGGAAAACAGGGCCTCAATAATGGTATAATGGTTGTTTTCTTTTGAATCCACTATAAAAGCTTTTATACATACAATATGCACATATAACCAATTTTGGATTCTTTTTTTCTTAATATATATTTTATTTTACAAAAAAAAAGGAGAGAGTTGGCACCATTTTCAGAGGTCATTGTGCTGGTCCAGTCTGCATTGTTTAAACATACCTGTTGAAGTAACACATGCATATGTTGGAATACTAAAAAATAACCAAGATTTTTATATTTTTGTAAATTATACTTTCTATACTGTAGATTGTGTATGTTATGTGTTTTTATGGAAAACTAATAAAGGTACAGTGGTATCTTGAAAAGTGGAATGTCACCTATCCCAAAGTATCAACGGAGCCCTGCTTTAACGATGCCACCTGGGTGACCTCTGGGGACACAGGTGCCTGTAGGCTCAGACAAGCCCTTCTGCCTTCCCCATGGCCTTGTACACACTCTTGTCTCTGTCCTAAGCTCTGTAAATCAATCTCCCTTCACCCCCAACAAAAACAGCCATCATCCTGGGGCTGAGGTGGTCCCTCACGATGGGATTCATTTAGCATTTCAGTCATGATTAGTGATTTGGAGAATCTCTTTATGTGCTTGTTGGCCATTTGTATACTGCTCTGGAGAAAAGTCTATTGAGGTTCTTGGCCCATTTGAAAAAATGTTTTAATGTGCTGTTGAGTTTTGTTAAGGAATAATCTGTACAGTCTGGATAGTAATCCCTTATCAGATATGCAATTTGCAAATTGATTTGCCCTTTCTGCAGATTACTTTTTAATCTCTTGATGGCACCTTTAATGTACAAAAGTGTTTCATTTTGATTTAGGTCAATTTGCCTTTTGTTGCTATTGTAGCCTGTGCCTTTGATGTCACATCAGTGATTTAAATAGAAGTCACATAATTATTAAACTCCTAGAAGAAAACACAGGAAGAACTTTATGATATTGAGCGTAGGGTTTAATAATTATGTTCCCTATATTTAGACCATTGATCCATTTTGTGTTCAAATTTGTGTTTGGTATTAGGTAAGGGTCTGGCTTCATCCTCTTCCATGGGGATATCCAGTTTCTCAGGCACTTTTTATAAAAACAAAACAAAACAAAAAACAGTTTTTTCCCTGTTGAATGGATTTAACCCTTTCCAAAATTATTCAACTATACACTTTTAAAAAAAGATAAAACCTCTTTAAACTAAACCTGTACACAGCAACTTTTATTTCTCAAATAATTGCAAAAGAAAATAAAGCAGACTTTGGGTTAGGTGTCTAAAACTGTACACCAGCCTTTCCTTTCTCTGGGCAGAAACAAATAAAATCATAAAGCCACCATAGTTCAGTTCCCTGGTCTATGAATCATATGAAAAGGGCTTCTCTAGAACAAGGAATGAAATATTCAAAAGCACCCAGTTTATGGGAGAAAGAGGCAGAGGAGGGATAAATAAGATCTTATGTAGCTTAACTAAGGTGACCCCTCCCTGAGGCCCCAGCAATGAAAGCTGGTGGTAGGAAGGCCCCTTTCTCGTGAGACCCCAGGCCTTCTAGGGAAGACAGAACCAGACTCAGCCTTGTTCGAAGAACCAGAGTTAAGTGGAACTGTCCAGGTGGACAAGACCCATTTTGCAGAAAGGTAACAAAGGTCCTGAATGTTTAGGAAAGTACACAGCCCAGGGCCACATACCTCACAATCTAAGTGACAGGTGCTCTCAGGCGCTGACTGAGCCTCCACCATGTACCCCACAGTCCTTTAATCTGAGACCCCAAACCCCAAGCTACCTGAAGACCTAAACTTCTTTTAGCACTTCGTGCATGTGTATCAAAACTTCACCTGAATGTACATTTACATCCTTATTTATCTCAGGTGTTGCTTTTTATTTTATTAGGAGTGTTGTTTTCAACTTCATTGGAGCTATAAGAGGATATACAACATAACAAGTTTCCAATCTCTGAAATTTCCTGAATCTCAAGACACTCCTGGCCTTAAGGGCGCTAAATAGGAAACAGGGGACTGCTTATATCTCAAAAAGTTGACGGTGGCCATCACTGGATAATGAGATTACAAGTTATCATTATCTCCTTTATAAGGCTTTTCTGCTCCCAAATTATATGTGCTTCATACTACTGTTATAATC